GGAACGGAAAGCGTAGCCCCAATCAATAGCCCGTGATGAACGGTCCAACGGCTATCGGGACAGCACTGATGGTGTATAGACACTCGGTCGGCCCTATGAATTATTCAATGTTAGCCAAGTGGACTTGGGTGTATTTGCCCTTAAACCGAGTCGGCTCCCGTACAGAACACTCACCTGATCTCGTCCCTTGACCCAGCCGTCACTAAATGCCACAACTCGCGACGCCCTATTGACCCCGAGTAAGTCAGTCCGTACGCGTGACTTGACACCGCCGCAGCTCCCGACAGCATCGCAACGGGGAGAGAACTCTCTCTTCTGCCTCATCGGTTGTATTGGGAAAGTTTGCGATGCCGCGCGATAAAGCGTGTAGCATTGTAATAACGCGTGAAATTATCTCGCTCGTCCGCACTCACTCGGCCGCGGTGCCGCCCACGGCATCATAAATTGCTGAAACATCGGCCGACTTTGGCAAGCCGAGAAAAATAGTCGGCGCGGCGAAAGTTCCATCGGATATTAAATTGTTTTACGCTCTCGAAGTCTAAGCGGGGAGTTTTAAAGAAGTGACGACGATATCACAGTAATGATGATATCGATGTCAGGTTGTATTTTCGACGTTAACGATGTTAACGTTCGACGTTTGCATGTTAACTTTTGTCGATACATATTTTACTTAAGAATTTACTTTATTTACTATTCGACGATGATCGGAAATTTTCTGAACAGTTGGATGCACATAGCATCGATAACAGTTGCATTTAGCGCACAAGCTGTGTGGAAAAATTTATCGAGGGGATAATATTCAACGACAAACACGACTGGCAACTACTAGGTGGTTACGTACGATTAGAAAGGGTAACATCACGGTTATCAGTCTGCCTTATAACGGCCCGTTACTGCTCTTCATAGTTAATAGCGACCTAGTTTGCTTTACAACCGGCTTTAGTACCGGGTAGGTAGGTAGCGTTTCCGCACTTGCCAGGAAGGAGCTCTTAATACTCCGTCTTCTATTACTAGCGCTAGCCGCTGGTTTCACCAGTGTAACGATCATGTTCAATTCTATCCACAGAATTCATCGTGGAGAAACGACTCTATTATTAAGTGGAATTAAAGATAAAGTCACTCTGTGGCACACCTTTTAACGTATTACTTCCAACTTAACATATATTCTTCTCCCTTCGAGCAAATATCTTAAACCTCGTGTTCAATTTTCGAAGCGATAAATTTGAGTAAAATTGCTTTATTTACGAGCGTTTACACTTTGAACCGTGTCTCTTCCGGCGAACAAGTTTAATTAAATCGAACCGTTCGTTATGAATCGAATTCTCAATGATATCATATAGAAAGCAAGAACGCTGATAGTAATCGCGACCACGCATGTAATCCGGTTTGTCAATTATCACCAATAAATTGTGTATATTATCGGTGCGTGTTCATCAGCACAAATAAATATGGAAGCGCGTAATATGCATCACACGGATACGATGCGCTAGAAATCGTAGTGATTTATCCGCTATGATGCGTGTCGCGTTGGTACGCGTATTATCGGTTTCAATCTCGCGCGAGTAATGGACGTTCGCTCGACTTTTGTAAATTATGACTGAATATGCGCGCTCGTAACTGTAAATTTTACATCGTCTAGGATTCGAGATCGTCACTGTCGGCTTCTTTAAATAAAATTAATCAACTCAAAAATACGTTAGATAAACAGAATTTTAATAACATTGCTTAACTTTTGAAAATCCATTTTTTGCCAACTGAAGCATTTTTGAGATTTGTGAAATTCGGTTTACCGGTCAAGAAGTTAAAAAACTAATTTTTTCGTGATACTTCAGACATCGTTATTAATTCGATTGAATTGTCAAAATAACATGACATCTTTTAGATCCGGATTTTTAAGTACACGAATGAGAAAAAACGCGTATTAATTTACGCGTATAATTAATGTATTCGACGCGCCCGTTATATTTTAATAACACCTACTTCAAAACTTTTCCTATCTTTTAATCCCATTAGTGTGTTTATCTGAGTTCGTAATAAAACGCCTAACTTTACGGTGGCTGTGCAGATCATTATTAATTATACAAGAAAGCAGCTTCGCTCTTCGTGTGACAGTTGCTGATCTGGAATTTCATATTAATTAATACAACAGACGCGTGGGATACCGCCGTGCGCGTTATTATTAATTTCGATGCGCGCTGAGTCCCCCGTCGCAAACTGTTTTCGCATTATAACTTCGCTCAATTCAGTATTCACGAGAAGCACACACATTATTTTGTGATGTACTTAAATCATTATAAATAATAATAATCGAGAAATTAAGAGCTATTATTAAGAGCCAATAATTCATTCCGAAAAAAAAAAACAGCCAATAATGAATACATATGTCAAATGAATGTTAACGCATTTTTGACAGACTATTATTCACTATTCATAGTAAGTCCGTATTTGTGTTAAAATCGGTCTAACATTTTGCGTTAAATTTGTATCATATCCGTGTATCAATCTAGCATATTATGGTTATGTTATATATATGCATATATTTTGTATCGAGTCGATATTTATCATGTGTAAATGTTAAAATGACATTTATACGTGTTAAAATAATATATTTTATATTTCAGTATCAATTAACATGTTATTGATATTTTGTATTAATTCTGGACATCATATTTGTATCAAACTTTTCAACATATTCACTTTATGTTAAATTAATACCAAAATTTTTGTGGACCATTTGGGACATGTGAAATGTGTGAAATTTAACATAAAAATTTCCACCGCATAGAAAATGAAGATAAAAATGGTCAGCGTCATATTTGAAGATGAGCCAAATTGTGATTGCTGCCGTATCGTAATGGATCAATCGTCGGTAGAAATTCAATATATTTGTTAATTGTATTTATTTTTTGATCGTGTGCGCGTGCAAGCCAAATATACCCATAAAATAGTGATATTTGCAAACAATAACAGCAATATCGTTTACCGGTGAATGTTTATCAACGATTCCAATATTCGCATTTCGCGAATTACTCACTCTCGAAAAAAAAAAGTATCGCGTGGAACCTTTCTCTCTCCTTTGCGCTTATCACTAGCGTCGTCCATACCGCTCTTTACGTTGCCGATATGTCAAGCCGGTCGTGTTATAAATTTTAAGAAGCTTAATTCCGCGTAATTAGCAAAGTTTCTGGGTTGCCTCGCGGGCAAGGGGGTAGCCGCGACGGAAAGGGACATGAAGGACGGGAGCGAGGGAGGAAAGGAAGAAAGAACGAAGACGAAGAGGACCTTTCGAAACTTTTTAAGATCGAACTCTTTAAAGCACACCGACATTTTTCGGTCGGTCGTTATTTACTTTTTCAGGAACCCGGCAGACAGTGGCTCGCAAGAGTAGCGAGGGGAGGTGCGGGCGGCCGTCGCGAAATCGACGACATTTTGATTTATGGAACGAAAATGGAAATTCAGCATTGGTACGCGGGGTCCGCGGCACTCCGAGACGCCTTTATTCCGCAGCGGCGCCAATTTTTTCGATCTGCATCTCGATCATCGTCGCGCGCGTCGCTCGTTTATAGGGGAGCACTCGCGAGAGTGCTCTCTCGTGAGATTTATGACATCGCATCGCGAAAACGAAAAAATAGGTACCGAAATGGTGAGCCGAGAAAGGAATCGATCGTCTCAAGAAGTGTAAATCGGCATCCGACTGGAAGCAGTTGGATACCAGCTGTGTACCGTCGCTTTTGCGACATCGAGTCAATTTGGTGAATCTAGTTTTTTACGTCACTTAAATGGATTAAATTTAGACGTCCGTGTTCGATACTGCTTAGCGTATGGTTGCTTTCGCAATTCCTAAATTAGCTTTTCCATTTTTACAGTGTGACTTTACTTCGACATGATTACGATTCGCTGCGATGTTAATTTTTTCATCGGGTCAAATCTGCCGCAACGCCAGCCGTAACTCTTGCCGCAGTTATTTCGTTCCTGACGGATGATCGAAACTCCTTCGTCAAGGACTCTCAACGTTGGCGATGCGAGGAGTTGACGCGCTATTTCAGGAAGCTATAGTGATTACGCTTCGGTCGCCAATGAGAGCTTATCTCGGCGACGGCTTCTAAAGATGGCATCTATATATATGTATATATATATATATATATATATATGTGCCGTCAGTAGCCACCGTCAATCGCCCTTTCACCCCCTTGACTCACCTCGTGGCTAAACTACGCCAGGCTCAGTAAGTTATTACGTCGTGAAAATAAGAGGAAAATTGAAAAGCGGTTTAGCCGTGAAAATGGTGTCAATTACCGTCGATGTCGGCGATACTCAGGGCGGTGGAAGGGGGATGTTTTTCGCGGCTCGCATCCCCTACGCCAGTGGGTTGCTTTTATAATACGACGCCGGCACAAAGAACGACGTGACGAGGAGAGACACTTAGGGAATATTTCTCGGCGATAATTTTCTAACGCTGTTACCGGCCGAGATTGCAATTACCAAGAATGGGGGAGGTGATAAGGGAAGAAATTAATTTATTGCGTTCGTCGAGGGCGGAAACGGCAGGGTGCAATTTGATGAGACTTAACGAGAGGGTAATTCGTTATACGTTGGTCGGGGATAATTTGTTACGTCGCCTTTCTCAGGTGAGTGATAACCGTCGTGGTGTGGCGATGAAGTTTGAGGGGTGGACGTGAATGGATGACGAAGAGTTTACGTTTACCGGCTTCATACCGGAAAACTTCCGATGTTGGGAACTTGTTTCCTGGACAACTCAATCGCATTTAAATTCCACAGATATTCTCGGTGCGTTCTCTTAATTCACTCAAACTCTCGTCGCTTTCATTTTTCTTCATATAATCGCAACGAACATCAACAATGCACAATAGCGTCGAGCCGCGGCCATTTATTCCAGAACTCGTAGAACCGTGTTGGAACGTGTTTACGCGCCCTAATAAATTTACCGAGTTCCCGAAACTCCCTTCAAACTTTATGATAAAGCGCCAGGCGTCACTTACCGGTAGGTGTACATGGAGTTCTTGCCGCCTCTACGAGGTCTTCGCGACTTCCGGGCGGCGCCTCCAGCATTGTCGCGCTGCCGGAAAATTTCTTCACGCACAGCAGGCTCAACGCTGGGAAAAAGAAAAGCAATCATTACCTCGAGCCTCGATCTGATATCGGGTGAATTTAGATTGCGCGACAATATTACGATTATTTCGCGGAAAATCGCGAAGTTTAATCCGACCGAGAGATAACTCGAAATTAAAGACGTTGGTCGAGAAACAAAAGAAATAAAAAAAAAAATAATTGAAGCAAACTCGCAGGGAGGAATTCTTAATTAAATGACTTCGCATAGCTGTGATATAATTAGGGCACGCCGCTTGCTTAGCATTTTCAGGCGATGTAGTCCGCTTGGCATTCGATAGCTCTTTCCCAAGAAATTGGAGACGCCACATACATATTTATAGGCAGCGCGGAGTCCTTCGGGAATTTGGCAAGCAATCGGAGCGCCGTTTTAACCGTCTCGAAATAAAAAGGATCAGGAGTGCCTGACCTAACTTGTGTATATTGTTTCCATTTTCGATCTTATTCTATAGTTTCTGCCGCAATGCCGTTGTGAGAGGGGTCAAATATAGGATTGCAGACACATAAATTCGCTGTTTGCGATTTAGAAAAAGGTTTTCTTTTCATAACTGAGGGTTCTGCAAAATTTCACTATATTTATATTCTCTTAACGTTGTGTGTACTTATGTAAATTACGTTAACGTTTATCCGATGATTTTACCTTCCAAATATTTAATTTACAATTTCTAGGGAAGAGCCTCGTCTACGTTGAGATTAACTTCGGAAAGCAAATACCTCTTTCAAGTTCCAGAGATTCATTTACCGATATACTAGAATTTGTCCAAGCTTCACCGGAAACGCTTCGTCGAAACGTTTTCATTCGTTAAAACAAAAGTTCGTAAGAAGCGAAATTTATCAAAACTTGGAAATTGAAGTTTCGGTGAACGGAACGATCACCGCACTTTCTGTGCCCCATCCGTCATCCAGCTCACCATGTGATACGTACGTGAGGTGAAATTTGAATGCTTATACACAACGTCGCGTTCGAGGCTGATTCAGGCTGTACGACCCAAGAATTTTATTTATATCTTAGCCGAGAGCTCATTAATCTTTGCCATTTCGCCTACAATGGCCTTCGGTCGAAAATGCAGTTTTCGATTAAAATAAAAATACAACATTACATTAAAAACTAGGTCGGAAGAATATTTGAGAGCGCATGGTTTGCGACGATCTAATAATGTAGTTTATAAAGTAATACAATACAGCATTGTTAAAATACGGAGAATATGGTTTTTCCGTTAAAAATAAAACTTTTATTTAAAGTGTTTAAATATAAGTATTTAAAATGCTATGGCTCTCTCACTTTTTTTATCTTATGCTCGTAGTCTTGCATTGTATAATGTTTGGTAAATAGAAGAGTTTAAAAGATATTTTGTCTTACGGAATGGGTGTGTGCGTATACGTGAATTTGTACAATTCAGAAGAAGGGTAACTAGAGATAAAGCACGAAAATGTGAACGGTTGATACAGGCGTCGTTGTATTCTTTTTCTGTACATGGCGTCTGTATCACGCGAGCTAACATGTCTCAAGACATAACTTTCTAAATAATATTACAACCGTAAATCAAAGCATGATTTATCGACTCACCCCGCTTCACGTCTCGCCACGTGTTCGTGATTTCGCCGAATCTGCCCAATCCGTTTGTTGTCCGTCCATATATTCCTCTCACATCGTTTCGATGTTCGGTTTTCCTCGACCCTGTAACAATAACACATCGAATATTCTTTATTCATTATATTTATATTCCGATTAATATATATAATATATTTTATTCGTCGGAGGCAGGAGTGTACAATATATGTTATTTATATAGTAGACAATATATAAATTTATAAATAATTTTTTATATAGCATGTAATGATTAAAAATTAAAAAAGAAATCTTTTCTAAATGACAAATTGTGATTCACCGATTCGTGTAAAACGAAAATGGTTTATTTTTTGTCAAATTTCAAATTTGTCATTTTTACGTACGAATTGGCACCGCTAATCAAACAAACGGCCACCGATCAATGGCGTAACGTCAGAAGCATTTCATGCGTGAAACTTTACGAATGAGTAGGTTGCCAAATAATACATTTGCAGCGGACCGACTCATCGGCTCGACTATTTTCAGACTGGATAATTTTTTTTTCCACGCGTCGAAATTTCATTTCATTCTACGAGATCTGCGGAGATTACGTCCGCACCCAAATGCGACGCAATTTAACGACTACGTGTCGCACATGCGACAGATGCATAATGCGGCCGACCTGCATATGCATGAAGTCACAGAATATATATGCACATATGCGCGCCGTGATGTACGCGCCGTGGACCACAAGAGAGCAAACACGAGCAACGAGCAAACAACTGTGCGCCACAAAACGCCGGAGTTGCTTTGAAACGTTAGAATGTTGTAACTTAAGTTTTATTGCAACCGCGGCCGCGCCGACGATGATGACAAAATAAGAGATGCCCCGTGCGACACCGCCAATTTCGCGGCGGTGCATTTATTTCCCCCTTGGCGCACCACTTTTTTTGACTCTCCAACTCACTGCGCACACGCGTGAACGCGAACAAACGTTAGATTCGTAGAATGAGATTTTTAGTGGTTCGCATCCGAATCCGTACACAAGAAACGTGTGAAAAATCTCCCGGCGAATTCGTTACAAGCCATTTTGCCAATTATTGCGATTCTATTAACTTTATCGATGACATAACATGGCGGTTCTCTCCTCGGTAATCGCTCCAATTACTGTCCTTGCAAATCAAGCCGACTGACCGTTATTACGCTCTCCGTAATTACTTCATCGCGTTGGCGCGGGTCGGGGAAGGGGGACGAATTTTACACCGAGCGCGTTCTCCGTCGCCCAATAAAACGCGGCCCCGACAGCCGAAAGTGCTTTCTGCGATTGTCAGACGTGAGTTGAGCACACGCGCGAATAACGCGTCGGTGGGCGAAATTGGTCGTAAATTCCGCAGCTCGGGAATCTTTTATCTCTTAATGTGACTGGGCGCGCGCGCCCGTTCCTTGCGGTGCCTGCTACTGTTACAAGATAAGGGACGTTGCCTGGCTCCTTCTCCTTAATCTCCGCTTTTTCACCTCGCGCTGTGCGCTCCGGTCGATTCTTTTAACGCGTCTCCCACGTTCACGGTATAAACGCAATTTCTCTAGCGTTATTTCAACCGTGCGCTCGTGACGAGAGCGACAGTACGACAGCGTGTTGCGTATTCGCATACGTTTCCGTAACGCACGTGTACGTAGTAGCCGGTAGTGTCCTTGGAAGATATGCTGAAGAAAAGATTTGATAAGTATTGAAATTTGATGAATATTTGCTGATCGAATATTTGATCATTGCAGCCGTATAATTTGGTTCCGTATATGGTATATATAATATCGTAGTTCGGTATACTGTATATTTAGTGCACGGTATTAAATTATTTGGTTGCACTAATTAAATATTCGGTCGGAAAATATTCGCCAAATTTTAGTACTTATTATTAAATGTATTTATTAAATCATTATTAATCGTTATTAAATCCTTTTCTCAATATAAAATCTGGCCACTTCATCTTTTTCACTGGCTCAGCTCGCGGGCCCCTCAAAATGGTGGAAGCTAGTGTGCTGGTAAAAGACAACAAAGTTGTCGGCTGAGATAAATAAATGACGCGTTATTTCGCACGGGCGTGCAGGACGCGATGTTCACTTCAATCCGGCGCGACTAACTGCGACTTCAATTAGGACGAACGTATTCTTCGGAACGTCAGCTGCAATATTCTCCCGAGTGTCTAATGGTAACGCTAGCGTAATAATTGAGATTTCTCGGGAGGATCGCGCGCGTCACGAAGAGCGTCAGAAGAGTAAAAACGCGTCGCTTATTCGCAACGAGCGCGCGTCGAATTATGCTCCACCTCAAAAAACTCCGCGCCGATAACTGGTAAAATTATCGATCGCTCGAAAATACCGGGCACAACATCGACATGGCATATGCCACGGTATCGGAAAAATTGTATTCGCTCCCGTGAGAAACATATTTTTCAGGAATGACTATTGATGTGTGTGTGTGTGTGTACGTGCAATGCTCGGCCTTGCTCGGTGCTACCCTTTGTTTTTCGTCTCTCTCTCTCTCTCTCTCTCTCTCTCTCTCTCTCTCTCTCTCTCTCTCTCTCTCTTCTTTCTCTCTCTCCTGTTATTAACTAATTGTTATTGCAGCAAAAAATGCTCTTTGATAACGAATGGACTGCAGCGTCGAGTAAAACCATCTGAAAAAGCCTTCGAAAAGTCTTCGAAATTCCTCTCTCAGCGATCATGCGACTGAGAGAATTCTACCGCACACACGCGTATTTTCTAATTACTCGATTAAACGCTTTATTTTTGCGAATGGAGTTAATTTTATTGAAATGAAAAATGTATCTCTGGAAAATTAATCGAGTCAAAATTACGAGGCTTAATACAATGCATAAAGCAGCATCCTTTGAAGAAACGCGTCGTGTAGAAATTTAAGCTGAAATTTCACAAGTACAAGCGATTGTCTTTCATGCGTATTGTGTATCTTGCGTTGCGAAACTACTCCGTAACTGAGAACTTGATTTCCCATCTGCACTAACACAAGCTAATATGATAGACAGACCGCTGGGACACTCGAAGAGAATATGATTATTAATACCCAAGTTCGCATTGCTGACTCCTGCAAGATCCCGTCGCAGGTGCCAGATATCAAAGAGAAATGATAATAAGGGAAGGAAGAGAAATTAATTTTCCAAAACATAAGTAACGACACCTCGGAAAATCAAACTAAAATGGGGACAACCCACGTAACAAGATATAAATTGTGAGAATGCGGTCGGGGATTTAACGAGTATTCCCCGTTCCCAACATGGTCAAGTTTTGTCCTAAATTACGGATATGTGTTCCAACACACAGGCGTGCGCGCATACAGCCGGTGGCGATGTAAGACGCTGTGAAGAAACTAATAAAGATGTTACAAAGTCTCCGATAAGCGCGCAGAACTTGGCGCGAAAAGAATCGATTGGTATTGCGGAGAAAAAGAGAGATGAGGCCGAGTTACATTGCGGTGGAAACTACATATATTCCTCGCCATGTCGCTCTTCCCTTGAACGTCGTCTTGACCGCACCTCCTATAATCCGACATATCGAGACGTATTTATCCGATCGCTGTGAGATACGCGCGCACCTGGAAAACGCTATGGGAAAAAAAAGATGAACTCGTGGCCTCGAGATACCGGAAGGAATATAAAGCAAGCGACGTGCAGAACGGTCTTATAACCAGTCGTTTCTTTGCACACGTTTTCCCTCGTTTATCCTCCATGGGACTTTAAGGAACAAGCGCAACGGGAAATTCGCGTGGCCACCGACGCGATTTCGAGAGCGCGACGGATGCAAATTAAACGCTGCCGCCGACGTGAAGGGAATGGATGGCAGTCATGGTGCGTGTAGGCAAAAGAAAAACTCTCGTGGTTCTTGCGGAGAAGGGAGGACGAGTTGATTGGTGTCCGTTTAAATCTATGGAACAGAGGAGCAGCCGCGGCTGAGGGACAGATAATTATCCGGCGGATAATGAGGCGTGTGCTCGGGATGTTTTACAGTAACATGCAAGCAAATGAACTGCACATGAAAAACAACATAAAAAAAAAACGTTGGCGTACAAGAAAAGATTGATGAACTGATTAAAGGAGTTCTTGAAAATTAAAATGGTATGAGTAGCGCGGAAATTGTTTTTCAACCGTGCTGAAAGTTTTTAATGACACTTGAAGTTCGTTAGGATAATTGTTCGAAGTCGAATGAAAAATATTTTCACACTTTAGTGTCGAACTTTATTCCATCGAATATCTCTTCATCGTTTAGTGATATAATTAAAGAGAGTTAAAAAATAATTAAAGGAGTTTACTAGATTGCGTCTTGCCTCTCTTAAATTCTGTTATTTGAACGAGAGAAAAAACACCTGGGATTGAAATATTTTCCGTAATATCCTTCACCGACTGAGAGGTAATGAACCGTTTGACAAGTGTCGTAGCTCTTAAGGGGCGGCTAAAGTACCGCTCGAAGGTAATTTCACAAAGGCAGGACGCCCTTGACGCCACTTGGCGTATATAGTGCATCTTGGAGAGTAATTAATCATAGACCCTTGAGTTTGCCTATCGAGGACGACTAACAGGGTCCTCCGGAAATTAAAATGTGGTTCGACAGCATTTCAAGGTCGAAATGAACGAAAAAGGATGATTACTTAAATGGCCAAAGGTCGTAAAACTCGGCGAACGAGAAACGAAAATTGCTTTCAGTCCGATCGGTAAATTTGTAATTAAAAGGAAATGTGATTAGAATACGAAATAATATATCGGATGTTTAATCGAATCCTTTTATTCGTAGCCAGTTTTTCGTTCGTATTTCAATTTAATCGCTAACAAACTGCTGCTTTCAAATTACTAAGTCCATTAAAGCTTCCCGAGCTTTTATCGCTTTTCTAAAGATATCGACGATATTAACGCGATATTACACCGGGATGTCCCAACTGAAATTTATCAGCGCTCGATAGGATCGTTAATAATAGTTGAAATGGCGGTAACTTCGTGAATGTACTACAAGTGATCCTCCCCTCGCGCAAAGGTATCCCAATTTATGAACATCTCCTATTACATTACGGAACATTTATGTCGTAGGAGGTATCGCACACCTTTGCTCCCGTTCTCGTATCATCC